GAGAGAGAGAGAGAGAGAGAGAGAGAGAGAGAGAGAGAGAGAGAGAGAGAGAGTGCTTGTGTTGTGTGTATGTGTGTGTTCTGCATACGCTAAACTGAACTCCACAACGAAGGGTGGCGCTATGGCTGGGTGTCTTGTTCGACTTTCATCAACTCGAAAAGGAGGTTGTGTGCATCGTCAGTATCTTCGTCTGTGTGTGTGTGTGTGTGTTTCACAACCTTTACTGCAGTGTAGGCGGTCGTGCAGCACGACGGTAATGCAGTGAATGTGGTGATCCGCAACGACACGACCAGGGAAAAATGATTTCTCCTTTTTCTTCTCCTCCCCCTCCCTCCCCTCCCCCCACTCCCCCAATTCCCCCCTCTCTTCTTCTCTTCATCCCCATATCTAACTCCACATCACTTGCTTTCTTCATTTTCTCATGTGTCCATCGCTCTATTGTATGTACGCTATCAGTCAACACCCACCAATCCGTATTTCCCGAACGCAAGCCATAGGCTAGGTAGGTCGGCACCACAGTCTTAGGCTTGGATCCCACATGGCGCTTTTAACAAAAAATCGGAAAAGCCCCTCGAAAGGAGGGTCCTTGCCTTTTGGTCCGTAAAATTTTTTTTGGACTCCACAGGCCCGTCCTTCGAGGGGCTTTCGCAAAAATCCTGCCGAAATATGTTGGTCCAAAAAAAAAAAAATTGGTGCTCGCGGCTTTTAGGGGACAGGGCAGGGGGATGCCTGCTTTTGCGAAACAAGTGTCGTTTCGCGGTGGGTGTCGCGGCCTGGTAACAGGCGAAATTTGTTTCGGGTCCCGAAAGCCCCGTGCATTGTGGGATCCGAAATTTTACCCAAAATTGCCTCACTAACAATAGTGGGATCCAAGCCTTAGTGTGAGAGCGAAGTTCTACCAGCCCCTTATCACGCGATGATGTGGAGATGTTGCCCGGGGGTTGCCCGGGGGTACACATTCACATTCTCCGGCAGCGCTACCTTCTTCCCCGGAACACAACGCACCCTCCATTTGACTGTACCGGGACGCAAACATACCTTGTATACGTTCATTTTCAGTGTGCGTTCTGTTCGGGGGAAGACGGTAGTGCCGAGCACTGTGGCCAGTCATCGTGACGTAGACCCCCTGAGGAGATCCCTATCCCGTTCTGGCCACCGGACGAAACATGTCGGGTCATCCGCTGGAGAGCTCCGGCATAGGGCGTTGCTCCACTACTCTCGAAATGTGCAAAATGAGAGTGAATCTTATGCTAGAACATGGAAAGATATAGAACCATGATTTTTGTCTTTTGTGCAATTCGAGAGTAGTGGAGCGAGGCCCATAGATTATTACGATACGGGCATGGCACCCACTTGAGGATCAGGCTCCATAGGTTGTGTTTCATGATTTTGTTCAAGCCTACCAGTCACGGTCGGGATACTTTGACGCGTCCTTTGTCCTTTGCCCACGTCTCATCTTCTTCTTCTTCTTCTTCTTCTTCTTCTTTATGATGATTGTTGTGCTTTTCAGGACCTTAAAAAAAAAAAAAAAAAAAAAAAAAAAAAGATGATTGTTGTGCTTTCGTCAGGGTTGCATGACGTGTGAATGGAATGGGTCTAATCACGTGTGTGTTCTTTAGATCCCTGTGGATCGGTCTTCTCGTTGATGGTAAGTCTTGATTAACTGTTGATGATGCATGAGTGATGAAGTGCAACAGTATTACACTCACCTGGAACTCCCCTTCCTCCCCCCCCCCCCCCCCCAAAGGGTCCATTAACGGTGCCTGATACCAAATACCATTGTTTCATGGCACCCAATATTATTGGCTAAGGTCCTGCGAATTCTGTGTGTGTGTGTGTGTGGGGGGGGGGGAGACAGTGGGCGATCTCTATATCCAAGGGCACCAAACATGCCCAGGCACATACCTGAGGGGAACTGGGAGTTGAACCCGCGATGTGCTGAATGCAACTTGTGTGCCTTACCAGCTGAGCTCGGCCTTATAGCCCTTAAACCTCTAGTTCACCCCAAGCAGAGTACAGGGTATAAGCGGTAAGAGCTTTTCGATTCCGGCCTGGGCCTAGCTAAAGGGGCAGGCCACTCTGAAAAGGCATCTTTTTTTTTTTTTTTTTTTTTTTTTTGAGGAGTTGTCTTGTATGTTCCAAACTAGCATTCTGACCGAGAAAGCGAAAACGAACAGCGGTACCGGGCGGAGTAGTGTAGCGCTCCGTTACGGCTGTCGTCGCCAGCGATTAGAGCTAGCGGCGCTGCTCGTCCGAAACCTCCGCCATCGTGATGAAGGTCGGGCGAGACACACTGCGCACCTTCACTTTGGAGGTGGGGCTTGCCCAACTTGCAGTCGTGTTCCTCGAGTAGTCCATAGCTAAGGTAGGGTTATGAGGAGACATATCCCTTAACCATGTCAAGTTCTCACCAAAGCAAGGAAGGAGGTAGGTGTAGGGAGAAAACAAGTTCTTGCGAGCAACGTCGGTTTAATTAAGCACGGACGAAAGTTACCATTCGCCACGATCGTTTAACTGTGCGTGCCGTCCAGGTGCAGATCTCACCACGTTCGTTTGACTAAGCGGATTATCTATGTGTAGGCGCAGAATTAGTTCACGCAATATAAGTTTTGAGCAGAATTGCATGTGCTGTCCAGGCGCAGCTTTCACCACGACCGATTGACTATGAGGATGGAAGTTACCATTCACCACGTTCGTTTAACTGTGTGTCCTGCCCAGGCGCAGATTTCACCACGCCTCTTTGACTAGGTGGATTATCTATGTGTAGGCGCAGAAATTGGTCACGCAATATAAGCTTCGAGCTGTACTCTCTTTTCCCTCCCTCCGATTAGGTTGGGGTGACGTCTCCGCCATCTCCCATGGGTACTCATTTACTACGGCAAAGATAGAGAGGGAAACAAATCTCCTGTCCTAATTCTGTTCGGTTTTCGCCACCTCCCACGGTGGATTGCTCGCCACGTTCTGGTCAATTACTGGGGCAGCGCTTTCAATACGATACTCTCAGGTGAAACGGTGAACGACCCAAAATGCACCGGCTATGGAACCTCCTAAGTTGAACGCACGCAATTGGTTGGAGGTGATGGGACAGAATATAGGCGAGCATAATTACCAATGTTAACTATGCCCAGGCTGAATTTTACCTCCCGTGCCAACAATAACACAGGAACAATGTTATTGTCGCTGCTGGGCATCATAGCGATAATACCTGTTTAGGGCAAGGGAAGTAGATGCCATAAGGGGCCTAGACACATGTACGATTCGCAGGGTGGAAAATCGATACTTAATCTATTGTTTCTTGTACACCCTAAACCAGTGCATCGCTACTAGTTACTGCCCCACTTGCAGTGCGTCACCATGCTGTGAGGCCTTTAGGAGGAATCAGGGAGAGCGGGGGAAATCAGGCCACGTGTAGGCCGAGCCATCAATGGCAGAGCATTCTGGTGTATGCTCGGGCCGATGCTGCCGTAGTGGTTCCGGCCAGCAGTAGTCTACAAAGGGCCCACATTAAGCCCACCTCGCAATTATCCTGAACCGGCATTGACACATCAGTAAGGCATAGGAACAAGCAGGCAGGGGCAGAATGGCGAGCATGCGGAGAGCAGCTTCGGAACAGGCCCGGAACCCGCTCACGACAGAGGAAGCCCATGATAGAGTCCGTGCTTCGGTCACTCGCTGTTACGATGAAGGGGTTTGCCCGGATGATCTCCACGTAGGAGAAGTGGTGGAAGACGCCAAGGGCAAGCGTTTTGTAGTTAATGAAATGGTGAATGAAGTAAAAGAGCAATTTTTAAAGGAGAGGACAATCATAGTCATCTTCCAGGGGGAGGCCAGGAACCTGGCGAGATCTGTTAAGGAAGATTTAATGCGAGCATTTGAAGATGGATGGACAGTCCGACGGCTGTTTCACCCAGAAGCCAGAAGGGGGAGAGTCAAATTTGAGGGACCTAATGTCGCCTCCTACGTAGCCAAGGCGAAGGAGATAGCCGATTGGCTGCTACAGCAAGGGGAAATGAAGATCAAGCTGGAGCAGAAGGATTACCTGATGCTGTTCAAACCGAGACTTTCCAAACAAGAGCTACAAGATGCACACATCCAGGAAGTTGAGACCAAGTTCTGGATCACAGCATTAAGAGTACCGTTGGAAGCATATTACTACCTGAAGAGCGCTGTCAGGGGGGTGTTTGGAGAAGTTATCGCAGAGCACAGCCCAGAGTACGATCGAGATAGACCCAAGCTGATGAATGTTAAGTTCGTCATGGCACCGGAGTCACGACCTCGTGTTGATGACGAGTTGGTGATTCAGTCCCCACAGGGGGAACGCTGGACGGTGGAAATAGTATCACCTTACACCGACTGGTGCCGTCGGTGTAAATGGTACTATCACACAGAGAACAACTGTCCTCGCCGTCAGAGAGAAGAAGGTCGGAGACCCAACGGGGAGAGACAAGGGGGACATAGGGCTTGGTACCGGGAATTTATTTTGAACCAGCGAAGGACGGAAGACCCTGCAAGTGAAGAAGCGAGAGTAAGAGGCGGGGACGGCCAGGCACAGAGGCCTTCGGCTCAGCCTGCACCCATGCAACGCCAGGAGCATTCACACCACCAAGAGAGCTGCTTGCAGTCTAATCAGGGAGCAGCAGCTCCAAGCTTTCATCACCATGAACCGAACGTATCGTTTCAAGGAGGCTACTCAAGAGACCCGGTGCACGACCTGCATGGAGATCCCCAGCAGTGCCTACAAGGAATCGGGCCGAACGGTGCTGGCTTTCAGGAAATGGCGGTACAAGGACCGCCTCAGAGATGGGGAACAAAACAAGGGTGGGACGGAGACAATGGCAGAGCAGCGGGCCTATCACTAATCCCACCATGGCAGCCCAGGGAGGACTGGCCAGGTGGGAACGGGGCCTTGCTACACGGTGAGTCCCCACTAGAAACGGGTGGCCTCAGCAACCTCTACATCATCTGACGTGGCAGGATCAATATGTACACCGCGAGCTGCAGGAGGAAGAATTCTACTACCAGCAGCAGCATCAAGGCCACACTCACAGTCCAGGCCAGAACTTGGGGCACGGGATAGTAGACCATCCCTGACCCAGATACCCCTCGGCGACATATGACTGGAGGCGCCTGGCCTCACATGAACCGGACAGAAGTCAGCTCCAGCATCAACAGGACTTTCCCAGATGGGAAAGTGGGGCCCCCCTACTCCGACGGCGGCAGAGAAGTAACGCGTCAAGATGGGACCTAGGAAGAGATAACATGTGGAAACATCGAGGGGAGGTATTGGGGACATGGCGCCAGGGCCATTCATGCCAGTTCTCCACGCTGAGGGAAGGGGAGGAGTTGGGAGATAGAGAAGGTGTCGGGGAAGGGCGGGGACCTGAGGTACTCAGGACAGGCAAAACCAAGCTGCAGGAGGAAATGTCGAAAACATCTGTTACATCACAGTCGAGAGTGCGGTGGGGTAGTGCTTGTGAGGAGGAAGATGAAGGTGCATCACAAAAATCAGAGGGGTCTTCCGTGAGAAGTTCGGCAGGGTCAGGGACCAAACGGGACGCAGACACCAAGAAGGCAGTTGCGAGGGATCAAAGGGTTGACGCAATCAGCAGGAACCAAATGGAAACAGTGCAGAGGAGATTAGTGCCCCTGCTGTGTACACACATAGATCGGGGCGTGTTCTTCCTCACGACGACAGATGGGGAGGGCCAACCGCTGCTGCCCTCTGCTGATGTGGACTCCTCTCCTACCCCGTCGAAGATCCTGGAGGTAACAAGGAGACTCTACGGGGAACACGTACAGATCAGACTGATACCTTGGTCCACGATGGCCAACATTATTTGCGAGACAGTGGAAGGCTACAGAAAGTTCTACTTCCCTCTGATGGACGCAAGAATACCTCCGGAGACGATAGGCATGCTGTCACAGACAGGCATCAGGTGGTACCACATGGACATAGTTCGCGAAAGGAACATGCAGGACCTGGAAAGCATACGGATCATGCCGGGGGTGACAACAATGTTCTTAATCAACGTGAATGAGAAACTGTTGAAAGAGGAGGATTTTCACTCGCCTTTCTTGGTAAACAGGCTTACCGAGGAATGGCGTTCGAGCTCGCACATCAGTTCTTCAAGAAGCGGCACACACATCCACCAGTCCAGATGTTCCGCCGATAGAGCCAGACAATCAGGAGCAGGCTCACAGTCCCCCCGCATCCAAGCTAAGGCGGGTTCTACTCTCCCTGATGGACATGCTTAAAATTGCCACCTGGAACATCCAGGGACTTGGGGATACTGGAGGTAGGGCTAAGAGGAGGCGCCTGAAGTGCTGGATTCACGAAAGGAGAGCAAACTTGCATAATGCTGCAGGAAACCAAACTGAGCGAGAACAAGTTAAAGGAAATAGCATTGTGGTGGGAAGGGCCGCAAGTATGGGCCCCGGCGCAAGGGTCTAGAGGAGGGGTGTGTATTTTACTTCATCGGGACCTCCAAGCGACTGTGGTAGATTCGGAAGTGGACATATGGGGCAAATGGGCATGGATGAAGTCTGAAGTGGGGAATGAAGAATGGGTTTTTATGACTGTCTTAGAAGAGTTAACTCAAACTGTCAAGACCATGGCCAAGGGAAAATCCCCAGGGGTGGACGGACTGACAATGGAGTTCTATGTTGCGAACTGGGTGATCTTCGGGCCCCACCTTGTGGAGCTGTACAATCAGATTCTGGTGGGAGGCAGGCTAGGGAAAGGTATGACGCAGGGGGTGATAGCACTACTGTTCAAGAAGGGGGACAAGACGGACATCCGGAACTGGCGCCCCATTTCCCTCAACGTGTCATACAAAATCCTTGCGAAGGCTTTGGCTCACCGACTAGCAAAGTACTTGCCCAAGCTAGTGGAAGGGGACCAGGGGACGTTTGTACAAGGGAGATCGATCTTCAACAACATAGTGATAGCGATCGAGACCCTGGAAGTGGTGCAAGAAAAAAACCTCGACATGGCCATCCTCCTACTTGACCTGGAGAAGGCATACGACAAGGTCGGTTGGACCTTCGTCTTCACCACATTGAGGAGAATGGGGTTTGGAGAAGGCTTCTGCGCCTGGATAAAAGCCATGTATACCTTTTCAACCTCAGCGGTGATGGTCAATGGCCACATGTCGGAATCTTTCGCGCTCTCAAGGTCACTGCGTCAAGGCTGTCCACTAGCCCCCCTTATCTTCGTGCTGCAACTCGAAGTCCTGCTGAACAAAATTCGCAAACATCCGGACATCAGGGGTTTACAACTGCACAATGGTGAAGTCTGCAAAGTGAAGGCGCTAGCGGACGACATCTTTGCGATAAGTGAAAACTCTGTCTCCTCGCTGTCAGCGCTCAAGTCGGTTATGAGGGATTACTCCACCCTGTCCGAGGCAACGGTGAACTGGAACAAGTCCACCTATCTGCTGCCAGCACAATTCACCTTGGAAGTAGAATGGGGGATGCGGAGGGTGGAGCGAGGGGAGGAGGAGAGATTTTTAGGTGTGCTGATTAGCCTGCAAATAGAGGAATCTTCCCAAGGGCTATTGCTACAGCAACGTATATCTGCACGGCTGAATCTGTGGGGGAACACTAGGCACTTGTCCCTAATAGGCCGTGCGCTGGTAGCCAACGTTGCTTTATTTTCAATCCTCTGGTTTGTATCAACAGTAAGGGAGTTAGCGGATGGAGTGATCAAGGTGGTAAGGAGGTTGGTTGCGCGCTTCCTGTGGAAGCCTCGGGCTGAGGCATCGGAAGGGTTCTTGTCCAAGGTAGCATGGGATACACTTACATTCCCCCGCCCCAAAGGAGGCCTGGGCCTGCTGGACCCCGCGCGAAGGAATCAGGCTCAACTGCGGAATTGGCTGGCTAAAGTAGCTACCATGAAAACCCGAGAGCACTGGGTGACAGTGGCGGAACGGATCCTGATGAGGGATTGGAAACTAAGCAGGCCACAGGATGTCTGGGCCTGCTTCTTCATGCCATCTTTTCGGAAGAAGAGACTCAGGTCCAAATTCTGGGAACCGATTCGTCGAGCGTGGAACCGAGTACCTCCGGACAAGCAGACTCCCCCGAGCACGAAAGAGGAAGTTCTAAACCAGTTGCTGTTTGAAAACCCAGCAGTGCTGGGTCAGGAAGGGCAGACATTCTTAGCAGATGGCAGCCGGGGTACCTTCGGTCAGGCCTGGTTCTGGAAGGGGGTGGTGCGACTCTCGGACCTGTGGTCCTCCACCCTGGGCGGATGGAAACCGATAGCCGAAGTAAAGGCCGTACTTAGGGGCCTACAGCGGACCGAGGAGCACTGGAGACTCCTGATCAACGCCATCCTCCAAGAATGGTTAGCCATCTTGGGACCGAAAAGGACGGATCCAGCAGGAACGTGGTACGTACCAAACCAAGCGGACGAGGAGGGAATGCTGTGGAAACTTGTAGAGATTCTCCCCAGCGGGTTCAGGCGCATTGAACGCTGGAAGTGCGAAGGCCCAGACAACACGCTGTCTCTGGTAGTGGAAGACACGATAAGGCTATGGGATAATCCCCCGCAAGCCCGAGTCTTGGCTTCCCAAAGTCGAAGACCCTTAGCCCGCAGTTACACTTGGGTGGGCAGACGGTCGCTCAGACAGCTGTGTATTGACCCAGCCGCTTGGAGTTGGCAACCAGCATCTGAGGAGGAGAGTGCCCTGGGTCTGCACAATTTTTCGATCTCAGCAGGTTACAAGCAGTCTGCTCATAAGCTCAAAATGCCCGCTCAGGTAGCAATCCCCCGCTGGCAGGCCGTCTGGGTAGAAGACCTATCAGATACAGCGCCTGATTTCGAGAAGCTCTGGGACGCCCTTACCTCCTTACCGAACGGCAAGCAAGTCAGCCTGTTGTGGATGCCCTCCCTAATGGCAACCCCCTCGGCTGTCTGGTTGGCAAGCAGAGGTATGGAGGTGAACCTAGGCTGCACAATGTGTAGATGGCCCTTCGAGTCCACCAGGCATTTATGGTGGGATTGCCCAGCCTCCAAGCACATATGGAACTGGTGGGCTCACCATTGGAGGGAGTTCGGGGGTGAAAAGGTTGAGTGGAATGAAAGGTGGGTGCTGTTGGGCTTCCTCCCAACAGATGTCGAAGCACACTGCGGTTGGGGATACGTCGCTCATGTGGTACGGGGCGTGATCTGTGAAACCATCTGGTCAGACAGGAACAGGTCGAGATTCCAGGGACGTCCGTTCTCAGACGTGGAAGTGAAACACACGATCAAACAGGGGTTGAAGCACATCATCTGGACGGACTGGAGGAGAAAGGCCAAATCTGGAAAGGGCAGCAGTCGCCAGCTGCGTTGGTTTCTCCAAACTTGGGCGAAAAACCATCAACTGGCCGCGGTACACTCCAGGAAAGGCCTAGTGCTGTCAAAATGGATACTCGAGCCCCCCCCCCTGAGAGCAGACAGAGAAGTGGCTGTGTAATGTACGCACAGTAGATAGTAAGAGCATCAGGCTCTTCTTAGCCTAGGTACCAGGTCACTCGGTTCATGAGACCAGGACACTCAGTCCCGGGTAGGGCCGCTGTGGGCAGGTAAGAGTGTGTCAGTAGGTAGGGTCTTAGTGGGACCAGGACACTCGGTCCCTGTTAGGGCCGCTGTGGGCCATTAGGAGAGTGTCAGTAGGACCAGGACGTTTGTCCCCCCTGGTCCGAGTTAGTCCCAGATTAGCTCAGAGAAGGTTTCCCACGGAGTTGTTCTACCTTTGGATATGAGAAGTTCTTAACTGCGGAACTGGAATTTGTGGTCCTGGGTTTGGCATTGCAGTAGTAATAGTTATCAGTGGAAGGAAGTTGAGGTTCAGGCTTAGTTACTGGATTGGTCGTTGCGAAAGGCAAAATTAGTTCATTTGTTATACTCTGCACTTGCAAGAGTATCCGCAGGTCTCCTACCTGTAAGCTAAGCTGGCTGATGCTGTCAGATACCCCCGGGTTGAATTGTGAGGTCCCCGGCCTCTGTTTCGTATTGTTAATGAATTGTTGTTTGGATTGAAAAAGAAAAAAGAAAAAAAAACAAAAAAAAAACTAGCATTCTTCTTCTTCTTCTTCTTCTTTTTTTTTTTTTTTTTTCCGACAATCGAGACGTCGTACGTCGTACGTTTTGCTTTGATGTTCCTCCACACAATCGCGATGAAAATTCATGAAATTGTCAATGATCCGGAATAACTTGTGTACCTCTCCCCACCCTGTCAGTGAAGAACTGCTCTATTTTCCTACCCTGGTCCCTGTCAGTGAAGAACTGGTCTATCTTCCTATTCATGTCTTCTTCAGGAACAGTGCTCCAGTCTATTTGTGCGGAGCATCGTCACCTGCTGGGAACCAAGGCCAGCGTCCCACATGTTGCATCCCATGCGTAAGGTTTTAACTGTGTGTCTCAGTCCGTGTGTTATTCGTGAGACACACAGTTGATTTAATTCAGGAACAGAGCTCTCTCCCTCTCAACCTCGTCGGTCGCCTGTTGCCACGTCAGCAGTATCTTGCCAACGCGTACCAAGTCCACATCGTCACCATATCATCATCATCATCATCATCAGATATCTACGCGCGCGCGTGTGGGAAAAGAACAATCGGTCGCCCATACCAAACGAGCGCGCATAGTCGCGCGATACGCATGCGCGTTACAAACGCGATATACCAAGGTGTGCCGATCGCACGAGTGAGCGCGCGGTTACAATACCGCCGCACAGTATAGCGTTTATCAGCAGCCGGCGACGGATGGAGGATATCGCTGCGATACCAAATTGCAGTGAACCTAGTCAGGAGGAAAGCTCAACAATGTCGAAGTACACAATGTCTCAGCGCAGTTTCAATGTCTCCAATCGTATGAGTAATCAACAGTCCAATGTCAAGTAATGTTACATGCTGAAAGCCTACACACGGGCCCCTCACGGGACCCGAGGTTGGAATAGGGCCCCCAGGTCGCGTCACCGCAACCTGAAGGCCCTATGGCATTTTTACTTGGGCCTGCATCAGAAAAACGCCAGCTTTAGATTATTTTTATAGTCTTTATTTTATTTATTTGCTGCTGTTTTTCTAACGGGTGTACTGTTGTCCGTTTTGTGGCCAGGTACACGCTTCTAGGGCCAGGGCCAGATTCAGGCACAGAGGCTGAGCTCCTAAAAACGTTTGGACCTTTTCTTTTGTTTTCGAACAGATTTTGACCTGTTCGAACCCAGGCC